CCCAGTCAGATCACCAGTAGGTTCTCCCCTCTCAGGGCAGCAGCAATTTGGTCAGTCAAGAGGCTTATTCAAGGTCAAAGGCCTGTGTCAGGCCTCATGGGATTCAAGCTTTTTGATTCCATGGCCTCTAGCAATCCCTCTGCTCGCTCTGCTACAGGAACCAAGCCAGCCTACTTCTGTAGATGCCTGCCCAGAAACCCTGTAGGAAGCAGTTCAGCCCAACTCTTTCCATTCCGTTATTGTGTCCCCACTTCCTTTTAAAACAGATTTCCCCCTCTTACAGCCTGGGAATGTCCACAGCAACACCTCAAGTCCTCTGCTTTCTTCAGCTTCTGCTCCATCAACAATCAGCCCCAGTTGAGGAACTTATCAGCCTTCCCACTAACCCTCTAGCAGCTGGAACAGCATCAGGTGTATTTGCTTCATGTCCCACTTGAAACCATCCTTTTCAATACCATCCTGTAAAGTTGCCCTTGTTGTTTCAACTGTAGAAAACACTCCTTTCCCTAAACTTTTTCAGTATTGCTATTCAAGAGGTGGCTGGATTTTGCCCAGGGTGTAAATGTTTCCTATGTAAATACTTCAAGATGACCAAGCCATCTCTCCAGAGTTAGGCCATGAAACCCTCTGAGGAAAGGCATTTGAGTCTAAGGCCCCTGGCAGACAGTACACTTAACACTCATTTAGCCAGTCAATCACATCTTAAATAGTACCCCAGTTACATGTTCAAATAATTAATGGCACAACAACATGGGAAATAAGCTGCAAAATGAGTCTACAAACTGCGTGCAATAGTTTTGTGGCTGGTAAGCATCAAACTGAACATAAGGCAGGGTTCCTGCCATGCAGCCTGATACCAGCTGCAAGCAGCTATAGTGCAGTCCCAAGGCTGACACCAGCGATCAGCTGTTTGTCAGTTCCAACCTGAGGACTGCACCAGAACCTTGAACCAGCTCTGGTGAGGTCCTGAGACCGACAATGACCTGATTGTCGCTTCCAGCTCCAGGACTGCACTAAAGTCTCCAACTGGCTCCAGTTTTGTTCTGAGGCTGAGACCAACAATCAGCTCACTGGATCACACTAGTTCATTAGGCACCCAGCTTTCAACTTGCCTGGGATCATGATTTCAGACTCCTTCTGCACTGGCAAGTGTAAATGGTGTGATTGAGATCTGAGCCCTCATCCCAGAATTGCTCATGTGGCATGGCAGGGCACAATGGTTGGGATGGGGACACAGATCCCATTGTGCCATTAAGTGAATATGTGCCAGGGTCCTAAGCCAACATCTGCACAGAAACATTTCCATGCACACTAGCAATGACTGGCAACATGACTTGAGATGGGCAGGTTGCCACAGCAATGGTGTTCAGCATGGTGGAGGTTCCATTAAAAAGAAAAGAGAATCTTCACCGCTAGCAGGACAATCTACTCACTAGAAGTCTGATTTCAAGCCCATAGACATCAGTGGCGACAGCCATCCATTTGGATTATGCTCTTTAGCTCCTGGGTTTGGCCTTTACAAACACTACTAAGTGTAATGCTTACCCCTGCCTGCAAATACTGCCATCAAAGGGATTACAGTATTTACAACGAGAGCTGGACTTAAAGGTGGGCGACATGGGGAACAATCCAGGATGCCATGATCAGGGCATCCCCCCCCCCACATAGGCAGCCCACACTCACAGTAGTGCTCTCCACCCACTGCACCCCAGGCAATCCCCGCCCCAGACAGGAGGAGCAGTGCACAGCCCAGCCCCGCCCGCCCCCTGCCTCCAGCTGCTGCTCAGGAGGGCAGTACGGGCGGCAGCAGCTGTGCCTGCCTGCCCACCTACCAGGAGCACCATGCTACCCTACCTCCCTGACAGACTGCGCCTCAGCCTCTGCTGGCAGCAGCACTGCTAACTTGGGGGCGGGGGGGGGGCTCCCCGAATACAACTTCTCCCAGGGTGCCATTTTCCCTAAGCCCAGCTCTGCTTGCAAAGTGAGTGCTGTGCTCTGCAGGATGTGTTTGCAGGAACAGGCTTATAATTGTAATCTACTTTAAGATTCTTGAGGACAAATGTGGTATAGAAATGTAAAATATTTGGTATGAAGCTATCCAACTGAAAGCTGCAACTGAACACAATGCAGTTTCTAAGCTAAGCAATACAGCCCTTAGAGAGCCGATGACCCTAGAACTCTTCTCTTCACCAGCTCTTTGTGGAAAACCAGGTCAAATGCAAGGCTTTAGTACTTGTCTTTGAGAACTGGACTGAATTACCTGAAAGATCACCTCACACTAGATATTCTTGGGTTTTCATTACACCTTTTTCTCTTACCTTCAGCAGGCTTTTGCCAGCAGCTAAGTTTCTCCTAGTGCATAGAAAGCATTCAGGCTTGGGCCCAGCCTGAGCACCACCACTGCTGTGCCACACTGAGGAACTCCTGCTGAGAAAGTTTGGCCTCCAGTGTTACAGAGAGTAGGACCTGGGTCCTTCATGGGGCTAGGTTCCCCTCTGCTCTGTGAAGATGAGGTTGTGTGAACTAGCCAGGGGCATATACAGCCACACCAATCATTTGTGAGGGACCACTGAGGTGCTCCAGTTGTTTGTGGCAGCTTTTATTTCACTGGCAGCCATTTCTCTGTTCACCTGTCTGGGACCACTAATAAAGCTCCAGCTAAGTGGAATCATAGAAAGTGAAGGTTGGAAGGGACCTCAGAAAGTCATCTAATCCAACCCCCTGTTCAAAGTAGGACCAGTCCCAACTAGATCATCCCAATCAAAGCTTTGTCTAGCTGGGTTTTGAAAACCCCCAAGGATGGAGCTTCCTCTCGAGTAAGAGGAGAACCTTTGAAGCAATCAGCTGAGTAGCAGGCATGCAATTTAGCAACTCTCTGCACACTAAAGTGGGTCATGAAGCACATGGATAAGAAAAATCTGGGTTCTCCCCTATTAGTGTGTTTCCAGTTGGGCAATCTCTGTATTTTCTCTCCGTCATCCTTTGTGCCACACCTGAGGTCGTCTTCTTTGTTTTACTCCTCATTAGAGCTGGGACTAACTGGTTCTTTGCTCACCAGCAGTTCCAGGAATAATGTTAAAAAAAAACTATTTCAGGTGAAATGAACAAACAAACAAAAATAAATGTTCTAATGAACCCTAGACGGGGAAGCCGTTCATTTCACATCTCACTTCATTCTATACAATTCCACATTTTAAGAGGTTTCTTTAAAACATGCTTTTGAATAAAAGGAAAAGAAATCTCACAAGGAAAACAATTAAAAAAAACCAACGTTCCATTTAAAAAATGTCAAAATGAAACTTTTCAATCTTTTGTATTTTTTTTTACTAACATAATTCAGCAAAACCAACATGGATTTGCTGAGCATTTAATTTCATTTTGACATAAAACAATGTTGTGCTCATGAATCTGCAGTTTGCGGGGGTGGAAGAAGGTTCAAATGAACAATTCCATGCACCTCTGTTTCCCCTGCCCCAGAGCTGTGGGCTCTGTGAAATGGCACGGACCTTCCATCTTCACCTGCCAGGGAATGACACACCAAGGTGCAGCTAGCAGTGTTACTATCCGACAGCTTTGTAATCAGCTTCTTATGGAGCTGATGCTGGGAGAGACTGAGTGATCCCCAGCCCTGTTAAAATGAACAGAGTTACTGAGGTGCCCAGCATTTCGCAGGATCTAGCCCTACATCAAGAGGCAACCACAAACCACAACAATGCAACACTGTCCAGACAAACTAGCATAAAATAAAAGCACCAGCAATGCTTTCCATAGCACAGTGATAGCTTAAAACAAAAACAGAAAGAGAGAAAACAACAAACTACGCAAACATTTCGAACCGGGGTATAGGTTGTAGCTGTGTTGGTATAAGGATATTTACCCAAAGAACCTTATCTACAAATATTTGGAACTGTAATTTCACAGGATAGAGAAGCTAAGCATACCAGGCTTTTTTTAAAGGACTAGACTAAGCTGAGTTCAAATTTACCATTAAATCTAAGAACTGTAAATAAATTGAGGCTTTTTGTATGGTAATAAGTGCCTCAATTTGAAAATAATAGGAATGTGTCTGTGCTGTTGCTTCTAGGCATGACTTATCAGAGATAATCAAGTGATGTTTTACTAAAACCGTCTTAAGTGGAAGCTGATGAACTGCTGTCAACAGAACTGTGTTAATCTCATACTGGGCAGGGAGCCACTGTCTTTGCCCAGCTCTTTGAATACACTGGCAGCTTTATGTTTCCTGGCTTGCATTAGGCCCATTTATGTAAAATTAATTAATAGACCAATACATTTAAATAACCACAAGCCATTAAAAAAAGCAAACAAAAAACCAAATAGCTATTCCTCTGAGGTGCCTGCAAGCTAAAGACTACTCTGTTACACATAAGAACCTGAAAGACTATTGAAACAAAATTGAGTGCTTCATTTTTAGTTTCCTAACTGAGAGAAGTAGAAACATACAAGAAAAATGAAGGAAGGGAACAAATAATGTTAAAAAAATTAACTCTTTAAGCATTTAACTATCCGAGATGTTATTACTGACACAAGTAAGGAAATGTGTTTCTTAAGTGTATGATTCTTTTAAACTGACAGTGTCCCTTTAATGGGATGAAAAGAGGAAATAAAGGGGTGGGGACTGGGGTGGGAGAACAAGGGAGTTTGTGAGCTGGAAGGGCTGAAGGAGTTAAAGTTGCAGTCATCCTTTTCTAGCGTGATTTATGAGGATGATGTGTAATGTTTCAGCCCCCTAAGAATGTCTCTCCTCCCTCCCTGTTTTGGAGTGGGAAGGAGGCGGTCTTCTGCTGATCTCTTAAATTCTTAGTGAAGTTTCCGTGATTTCCAGTGATTGCTGCTGTTGTGTGAGTGTGGTTTGGAGCGGGCGTGAGATTATCCTGACATTTCTGGGATTATTTCCAAAAGAAAAGCAAGAAGAAGAAACAAGGAAAGAAAAGATTTTGTTTAATTAAGTGGAGGCAGAGAGAACAGAAAAAAAGAAAGCTGCTTTTCTCAGCATCACATTCCTGGGTTTTCCTTCAGCCTGGAAAATATATTAATGCCAGTGTTTTTTTTCTCTGGGAACAAAGGAGCCAGTCCGAGTGATAAGAAGGATTGTGGAACTTGGAAAGAGGGAGAGATTTAGAAACAGCTGTGAGTTCACTCTTCCATGAAGTTTCTGTGTGTGTGTATGACTGAGACAGAGACAATACAGACCTGCAGGTAAATGGAGAAGCAAAGCTTGCAAAGGAAAGTTCCTTTTGCTTTATCTCACTTGTCAAGAAGGTGAAAGAAAAATAAAAAGATCCATAGGGAAACAAGAATTTCCTGGAGGCTGCTTGGCTACATCAAAATTACTGAGGTGCAGCAAAACTACATGGCATTGCTCTCCCTGTAAAGATAGGGCTAAGATACACATATCTGGAAGAGAAACTTTTCTGAGTGTGTAAGTTTCAAGTTAAAAACAAATTCTTGGCTTTCCACGTGTGTGTGTGTGTGTGCGCGCGCGCGTGTGCGTGCGTGCGCGCACACGCATGAGAGAGAGAGAGAGAGATGTAAAGTACATTTTTTTACTTCTTTGTATAGACAGATTCATGCTATAGTCAGATGATCTCATTTTTGCTTAGGACAATCTATCCTGTGCTGTTCCAGAAATAACCTATAAAGTCTATATGAACACCAAGCTATGTTTAGCATTTTATATAAACTGAAACAAAGCCAGTCTGTGTTTTGCTCTCTGGTCTCTTGTGCCAGATAAAACAGTGCCATTACCGTTTAATTTTTTCTTTTCCTTTTTTTCCCCTCCTCCCTCAAAGTGGATTTCACAATGAACTGGATGCCAGTTCTGAGTTTAGCTGTGCTGTGGGCAGTGTGGCTAGTATGTGGTGCTGAGAAGACCGTGAGGCTAGCAGACAGAGTGAGCCAAAGAGTTAGGAAAGTGCGTCCCACATACAGGGCTAGAAGTGAATTGCCCTCCCTCCTGAGAAAGTCAGAAGCATCCCAGCAGAGCAGAAGCCCTTTGGTGAGGAATCTCCAGCGTCCTGTTGCCAAGAGGGATTCTCCAGTGTCAATTAATGCGCAACCCAATCTTATGAGAGCAGAAACACTCACCCAGGCAAGGAGCATTGGGACCAGAATGCGACGGGTGCAGAGGCCTACTGCTGCAGCCAAATATTCCAAATCTGACATGGTCAAGGATGAGGGAACATCTGCTGTGTCCCGGTCACGGATGGTACGTTTCCCCTCAGGGTCCAGTTCTCCCAATATCCTGGCCAGCTTTGCTGGCAAGAGCCGAGTCTGGATCATCTCTGCCCCTCATGCCTCAGAAGGTTACTACCGGCTCATGATGAGCCTGCTGAAGAATGACGTCTACTGCGAATTGGCTGAGAGGCACATTCAGCAGATCGTGTTGTTCCATGAAGAAGGGGAGGAAGGGGGGAAAGTCCGAAGGATAACGACAGAAGGGAAAATCCTGGAGCAGCCTCTGGATCCCAGCCTCATTCCTAAGCTCATGAGCTTTCTGAAACTAGAGAAAGGGAAATTTGGCATGGTGTTGCTAAAGAAAACCCTACAGGTAGAGGAAAGGTACCCTTACCCTGTGAGGCTAGAAGCCATGTACGAAGTCATTGACCAGAGCCCCATCAGGAGAATTGAGAAGATGAGGCAGAAGGGCTTCATCCAGAAATGCAAAGCAGCTGGTGTGGAGGGGCAAGTTGTCGAGGAGGGTAACAATGGAGCCAGCACCAGACCAACACCGACGGGTGGACATGTCCACGTGTCAGCAGGGAAGGAGGAGCCCAGGAGAAGCAATGTTCAGACGAGGACAAAAACAGTAAGGAAGCCAGTCATGACCACAGTAGCCTCTCCTCCCCCCACCACAAGGGCCACCACCATCCCTCCCACAACCACAACAACTCGAACTGCCACCCGTGTTCTGACGACAGTAAGCAGACCTATAACAACAACCACAGCCCTTCCTACCACTCAGAGAAGCTGGACCACAAAGTTGCACACCACTGCAAACTATCAAAGGCTGCCTTCAGCTACCACCCCTCGAGCCACGGCTACAGATGATTTCTACTCTCCTGTGTGGAATGGGAACCGCAGAGACCGGCACCAAGGCCATCCAGAAAGACATGCAGTTGCCACCCAGAGACCAAGCAAAACAGGCAGCTACAACAGCTATACAGAGGCTCCAACAACTACCTCAGAGCATTACACAAAAGTGAGCTCAGGCAGATTCAAAGAGAACCGTACAGACAGGAAAGATTATAACCACAGGGATCCCCATCTCACACCAAGTCAACACAAGCCAGCCAAAGCCAAGCCACCTAAAAAGAAGGCCCAAGAAAAGATACTGAGCAATGAATATGAGGATAAATACGACCCAAGCAGGCCTCCTATTCCCCACTTGGAAGAAGAGATCACAGCTAGAAATATCCCACCAAAGAAAGGTAAAGAGTCAAAGAAGCATGACCTACTAGAAAAACCCGAGAAGAAAAAGAAGAAAGAGAGACCTGATAAACTTCAAAAGAGTGAGAAGCCAGCCAAGAAAGACAAAGCTGAAAAAAAGAACAAGCAAGATAAGGACCGCAGCAAGAAGAACAAGAAGGGGAGTAAGGCTGACAATGAGGGGTTCCTCAAGCCAAACACAAAGCCTTTTGTTCACCCCCCCAGGAAATCAGTGCTCAACCTCCTGGATTTTTTTGAAGGCAAGAGGCGACTTCTTGTAAGTATTACATTCCTCAGTGTTTTATCACCTCACCCATTTGCATGCTCACAGGTAACACAGTGCAGGGAAAAGCTGTGGCTGATATTTTTAATAGTCCTTTTGAAGTGGTGGTGAAAGGTTCCTGACAGCTCTGGAGGCAGGCGGTCTGTCTTCAGTGGGGGTAGCTTGCACAGCTTCTGGCTGCATGGTGCCTCTTCTTAATCTTGCCTTGACAGGACCCTCTCTCTGGGTGAAAGGAAGTTCAGTGTCCAGGGTCCATTTGGTCCTTCACTTTCACTTGCAGTGGCCAAATGAGGCACAAATCTTGTTGGCATTTTCATGTGTGATGCAGATTGCCACCAGCTAGGAATTAGTCTGGAACCCCTCTTATTCACTTTGTATGAGCTACCAAGCCACCATCAGATTATTTTGTCCATGGGGGAGCTGTAAATGATAGCACCTATATCTGTGAGAATGAAATGTGGGTCAGATGGGGGGTGGGCAGAGGATTTGCAGATCCTTGACTCTGGGAAGCCAGGAGTGATCACATGCTTGAAGAATTTGCAAATGATGTTGCAAATGACCCCTAGCTGAAAAATTAGTCAAAGCAAAAGCCCAGCTAGGAATTCTTCTGAAGATGCAGGGGCATTTGAAGCCTTCCAAAAATTAGTTCCCTATCAGAACAAAAGTTGCAGCAAGGGAGGTTTAGGTTGGAGATTAGGAAAACTTTCTCATTAGGAGGGTGGTGAAGCACTGGAACAGGTTACCTAGAGAGGTGGTTGGATCTCCATCCTTGGAGCTTTTTAAGGCCCAGCTTGACAAAGCCTTGGCTGGAATGATCTAGTTGAGCAGGAGGTTGGACTAGATGGCATCCTGAGGTCCCTTCCAACCCTCATTTTCTATGATTCTATCATTCTATCATTAAAGTGCCCACAGCATCTTGTGTATTCAGCATCCTGTGCTTCCAAATGGCAGCAGGAGTGCTTTAACTAAAGCTTGTTTTGAAATGCACGGACGCTGAATACACATCACATGGAGGCTGCTGGAGTGTTCTAATTAGAACACTAGAGTAGATTCAATGGATTCTGCTCTGACATGTTTTAATCAGAAAGCATCAGAGCAGACTTCGGGCAAGTGTATAGGTGCCCTCAGGAATGATAACTTAATCCTGTCTCCACATGTGAATTTTGGGAGAGCATTTGAAGGTCCATTTAGGTACTTTTTGGCAGGGAGGGTGAAATTTTGTAAGTAGTTAAGGCAGACATGCCCAATTGCAGATTCTGATTTGAATTTCAGACTTATAAAAGTTTATGGAGTGTTCAGGTTTTTGGTTCAAACCATGAGAGGTTCCAACCATTTAGAATATTTGGCCCACGTGTGAAATTTGGATCCACTGCTAGGTTTGGATTTTGCAACCCCACCTCGCTTCAGATTTATGGTTTATTTTCAGGCGTATTAGTGTTGAGAAGTTTTGGCTCAAAGAGTCTGGGGGTGTTTTGTTGGGTTTTTGTTTGTTTCACTGCAATGATGAAGCGCAGGCTGGCGGTTTGTATGTAACACTTCATTCACACACACAAAGAGAGAGGGAGCAAAAGAGAGGATTTAGACAAGGAGCATTTAATTAGCTGTCTAAAATGAAACCAGTCTGTGTTGTTTTGCAGATAATGCTATGTTATTTTAAAGTGTAATTCAAGGTTCGCTTTGCCCCTGAAACATTCAGCATTCCCTACTTTATTCTACAAGGTTTCCCAAAGCGAGCCAAATTTACTTGTCACTTTATACCAGTACAGTCCTATCAGACCAGATTCTGCCTCTGTAGCTACAGATTGGCCCTGAAATTGGGAGCAGAGTATTGTTCATAGTCTCTTACCCTTCTGAGTAGTCAGACAGCTCCTCAAATCCTTTTTACCATTTCAGTGCAACTTTAAAGTAACATGACTTGTGCTATGGATGAGCATATGTAGATTTTCATATACAGTAAGGCTCATTTTCATTAGGGTAGAAGTGTAAGGAAGCTTCAGTATAAAAGAAAAACTGGTCCTACAGGTCTATCAATGCTACTTATAATGTAGTACATTGATGAACTCTATTAATAACACATGCCTCATTAAAAAGTATCCCAGAAAACATGACAACATTAGGTATTCAGGTATAGGAGTCTACCTAACACAGGTTAAAGCATATTTTTTCATTGCAAAGATCATAAAAACCCATAATTCAGATCCAGGTGTCAATGCCCCCCATAGTCCAAGGGAGGTGGGATCTGGGATTCCAATTCATCTCCATTCCTAGTTAGAATTATCTTGATTTAACTAGAAGGGGTATTCTTCTCCAGTACTGGCTAATGGTATTGCTAAGCATAGCCAAACAACAGCCAACTTGCCATCATCCCCTAGGGACAAGGAAATGCATAGCAGTAGTTAGTGAAGTTGTGTCCTTTGTAAAGCAGTTTAGATGACACGATGCAAACAGAGGTGTATAAACCTAAGATACCTTTACTATTACCACTGTCACAATCACTCCCCTGTGCTCTTCTTCTACATCTTGCCCTTCCTTTCTCAACAAATGAATTAAAGTTGTGGGAATTCTCAAGTTGTTTTTGGCTACATATGGGTTAGATTGTGCTGTAGTCTAAAGCAGCCAGACAGGTGAGGAGAGGGAGGAAACTTTGCTTCCTTGCATTAAATCTACATGGGTCACAGACGTGGAAGTGAGGCAAATTATATGTGCCCAATACTTCCTCCACTGAGAAAAAGTGGGTGAGAGGGGAGGAGCTGTCACTCTCACACCCCAGTGAGCTGGACTGGAAAGTAAGAGCATGCCATCACCTGTAAAGGCCATAGCAACTTACCTCTCTCCAATCGGTGCAACAGGGCAGCAGTAGATAAGTGTCTTGAAGGGGCTTCAGAGTCCTATGCCTCCTGGGGCTATTCTTTGGGGTGGGAAGAATGGCTTCACCTTTTGCCTACAGCTGGGCCTCAAGGTGCAATCAAGCCATAAAGAAATAAATACATCAAAGTTACTGAGCTGCTTGGTGGAAAGGGAATGCAGCTGTAGAAGCACTGGGAGAGCCTTGGAAAAACTGCCCATCTGACAGAGGTTCCATGTGGCTGCATTCCCAAAGGTAACCAACTCTTTGTCTCTGCCCTCCACTAGCTGATCACAACACCCAAAGCTGAAAATACCATGTATGTGCAGCAGCGAGACGAATACCTGGAGAGTTTCTGCAAGATGGCAACAAGGAAAATCTCAGTCATCACCATTTTTGGCACCATGAACAACAGCAGCATGAAAATTGACCACTTCCAGCTAGGTTCATTTTTTTAAATACTTTACTTACATTCTTTTTTTTTTTTCAATATGGGATAAATATGGGAGGGGAAAAGGAGATATCCTTTCTCTCTCCTGACAGGGGTTAAAGTCTCAGGGAGACTGTGTGGAGGTAATGTAGCTCTTTTTTCCCCCCTCGCATTTACATAGCTGTCACTGGTATTTCCCATTCTTGGGCTTCCAACATGCTATGGTGAAGTTTATGGAGTGTTTTGTGGTAGTTTCTCAACCCCCGTGAAACAGTAGAAATCAGGAAAGTCTGCCCAAGGGGAAAGGCCATTTCGTTCTGTCCTATGGATGTCTTATGTATCCAGCACTGTGAGCAGACAGCTGCATTTACATGCTATCTCTCAACTTGTTTTGTAGACCATTGGCCACAGGTGCCCAGTAGACTTTAAAAACTGCCAAAAGAAATTGGCTGCTGTCACGCACAGAAGATCACAGGGGTGAGAGGGGGAAGAACTGCTTCAAATTAAATAAGAAACAATTCAAAGCTCAGCTCAATGCAGATCTCCTTTTTAAGTTCCAAATGGATACAGTCCTACCTCTGAATTTTACATTTTTGCCTACTTTTGCACCTTCTTGTTTGGAAGTGCTGTGGCACAGTCTTTCCTCACACACACACATGACCACACAAGCTAGAACCAACACACACAAAATCTTACTAGACAGCTGGGAAGAGTTGTCTCCCTTTTCTGAATCAGCTTGCCCAACCCTAACAGACAGCTTATGCTGACATGCTCTCAGAGTAACTTATTTTCAAACATGGTAATAGGAAGGCTGAACATATAAGTGTTTTCTCATCTCTGCTCTTAAATATGGATTGGTTAACGATGTAACCACAAGAGACTCTTGGATGGACTAGCTTCATAATGGTATGAGAATGCTTCCTTGGATACCTGGAGCCTCTTCACTCTGAAGATGGGGTTCTCTCAAACTTCACCTCTTTACCTATACAGCATCACACACATGAGCCTGACTGCCTTTTGTAGCCTACCATAAAGTTACTTAGCTCAGTGCACCCACAATTCCTCCAGGCAGTTTACTTCAGCCCACGCATATCCTGCTGAACACCTACATCAGTTCCACCCGGTGGAGCCTTCTTTCCTGGCATGATTTCCAAAACCAGAAATGAGAACTCAGCATCCAAACCCTTTTAGGCAGCTTTGAAAATCCAAGTGTACAGACTTGAGCCTGGAACCAAAGCCAGTGGGAATCTCTTCATTGACTCCAAAAGGTTTCAGACCAGGTCCTTCATTCCCAATCTAGCAGGGCACTTCAGCATGACCTGCAACTCTGAGCATGTAAAGAGTCCAGTGACTTCAAGTGGAGCTCCTCTATGCTTCAAGGTAAAACAGGCTTTAGTGCTTTGCTGAGTTAAGGTTTTTGAAGAATGTGTATACAAATTACTGCTCTTGCTTATATCTTTGCTGCATCAAACCCAGTTTCCTGTGGAAGTCCATCTGTTCCTGTAAACCTCTAGGTTACAAAAAAAAAGGAAAAAGGACTGGAAAGTACAGAGCACAGCAGAGGGATGGCAGGGACTCATTCACACCCTCTGGTGTTCAGGGCAAACACTGAAATACCTTGAAAGGCTGTGTTCATGAGAACATCCCTCTGCTGGGCTCAGCTGACACTGGGCACAGCAGAGGACTCAGGTCAGTGTATCTGCAAGGGGTGGGGTGTGATCAGTCCAGTCGAGCTCAGTCTAGGCCAGTCCATTTCTGTGCTTCTAAGGCACATCTGCATTAGGGAAAGTTCCTTTCTAAGGCAACTCAAGGTCATCTCACAGGTAATTAGGCCCATACTTCTATGAATGGTCTGTAAAAGGTTATATATGGTTCCAGTTTGGCTAATAAGACAGAAATGCACTCTGTTTGACGTGCACCATACTCCTTCATCCCATTCCAGATTTAATCCACACCCTGCAAATTTTCAAAAACCACACAAGCATATGACAGCTGAATCCTCTGACCATAGAAATAAACTTGGCAGTGAAACATAGAGGACTTACAGGGATGGAGGGTTAATTTTGGCTGGGAATACGTACAAGCCCATTTGGGTAAATGAACAACCCACCTGAACTACTGCCCAAAACACAAAACCCTGAACTTTTTTTTTTAAGTTAAAAAATTACTATTTTTGTTTTGCTTCTTTCCCCTTTTTATTCCCTTGTGTGGTCCCTTTTGTTTTGGCTTCTTGTCAAGACCAGAAACAGCAGAATCTCCCAAGAAATGTTTTGTTCATGATAGTCATGACCTGATCAGAAACCCTGGTACCTCGAGCAATAAAGTCCCCATCATGGATAGGATTCTCAGCACTACTGCAATACAGCTGCTGAATAATCATAAAAATCTCATGCAAGACCCTATTCTTATGACATTTCTAGCCTAAATACATAATGTAGTTCCTCCACAAAATCTGGGCTTAATGCAGACATTTTTGGCTGAGGCAATTAGACTGAAGGGTGAAAAGGTTCCTCCCAAGACTTAAAAATCTATGAATCTCCAAGAGACATAGCTCTTGCCTCTTAAATATATCAGATGGAAACTGTGTCCTAAGGCAACAGTGTGAACAGTGCTGACCAAACTAATAATGGTTCCTCTGGGGCCTGCCTCAACCAAAGCACAGCTGATTGGGTGCAGACATTCAGCAATGGGAAAGAGGAGGGTTCAGAAACACTCAACATTGACCTACCTCCATTCACAATGAAGCCAAAAAGAATTTCCCAGTGGACTTCCAGTGGGAGCAAAATTAGGCCAAAGGTAAGCACTTTTGAAATCTTCATGTTACAAAACCAAACCAGCCACATAGCTCATCTCCACTCCAAAATCTGGCAGCCAGTCTTAGCAAGCCAAGAATCAGTGCCAAGACTAGAACCCACACAGCTGACTTCCATAAACAACACTTCCCTTACTGGTAATAGATCACCATACCTTTCAGTCAAGCTGCTGAAGGTTTCTGTTACGTTACTTAAAAATCATTTTCAAATAAGACAAGCTAAGATGAACACTGTTGAGATATACATGAAGGCAGAAAAAAAACATCCTTCCCTAATGATGATGCAAAACTGCTCTGTGGCTACTACTGAAACCTTGAGGCCACAAGTCCCAACCCTCTGTGACTTCTCCAGAACAGATGGAGGGAGTGCAGTTTCCAGGTACCAGTTGATCTTATGGCCTTTTTCAGTCCTGCCCCCATTTTTGCCTGGGTTCTCTAACTAGTCATCTCTTCCTACTTCGCAAAAACGTTGGTGTTAGGCTGCATTTTGTCTGCTGCTTCCAACCCATCTCTCTCTCTGTCTCTCTCATCACCCTCCTTCAGTTTTAATTCTCTGACTTACATTATCAATTTCTGAAGAAGGGCATTGTGTTCTCCAGTCTCCCTGACAGAAAAGCTCTGGACTGTTTTCTTAGTGCTGACATTTGTAATTATTCAAGCAGAAAAAGGCCCTGGTTAATGTTTGTTTTACATGTCGTTGGTGTTAAATAACCTACCACAAAGCTGACAGCAGCCACATTTCTCAGCACCTTTCTTGTCCCGCTGTACCTTCAGATAAAGAAAAATGAGGGTTTTTTTTTAGGAGAGTTGTTTGCATTTATTATTTATCATTCTGTATTTATTATGTTACGTGCTAAAGATCACATGGCGTACCTGGATGAATAGTTCATGGAAGGTTAATAAATGACTTACAGATGCTTTAATAATCGATAATCAATTACCGAAAATCCAGCAGTTCAGTAGATTCCTTTTAACCTTGGCTTAAAATTGCCTACAACTTCTATCAATGTGCCTATAATCCTACATTACAAATGCAGCTAACATTAATTTACAGATGCCATTACCATGTTATAATTTATTAACCCTTCTTAAATCATTTATACATGCAGTCATTCACTTTTGACTGCTTCTATTGGAAATCAGCCCCAGGTGCACAATGCATAGTTCAGATCACTTTTGACCCATTAACACTCTCTTTTGATGTTTGGTTTGCTTTTTGCGTGTGGTTAATTCAAACACATTTTATTTTCAAAATTAAAATGTTGTCTGTTTTTTTCCCCCAAAGCCTTTTTTGTATGCCTTCAGTGAACAAAGAGATTTTCTGTAATGGTTCCTTAAATGCAAACCTTTCCCACTCAATGGCTTGAGTCCTGGAAGGGAAAAAAGTGTGTGTTGGGGGGTGGTACTCAAGAGTAAATTAGTATCTTAGCTTGACAGCAGTGGGGTGAAGAACTGATGTCTTTAGGGCAAAACAAAGTTCTGATCAGTTGTTGTCACTAAAGACCCTATGAAATGTTTTTGCAAAAAATAGGGATGTTAACTGGTATCTTGGCCAAATTCCAACTCCAAACAATATTTTACTGACTCAAATACTTTGGCTATGGTGTTTTTTTCAGATCCTGTTCAGAACTGTCATCTAGTTTTACTGTGCACTGTTAATCAGTTGCTACATTGTGTTCCAGAAGTGGCTGTATTTCAGCTGTTGTTAAAATGACTATTAAACCCATATGTTACATATAAAAATATTTGCAAAGAGCTCTGAGATTCTTCAAATAAAGTATTTCAAAAGTGACTTGAAAAGATTTCAAAAGTGACTTCTGATTTTGGGTGCCCAGCTTGGGCATCTGAAAGCTAAGACACTAAAAACACAAGTTCCTTTTGAAAATCTTTGCCTCGCTGAGTAGAGAGAGACTGTGAGATGTTTTCACCCCTTTCATGAGACTTATACAATGAAGTTAATGACTGTGAGACTTGTGATTCCATGTTTATTGGCATTTTACTTCTCTTAAGATAATGAGAAGCCTATGAAAGTGGTGGAGGATGAAGACCTTGTGGACCAGCAGCTCATCAATGAGCTGAGGAAAGAATATGGTATGACCTACAATGACTTCTTCATGGTGCTGACAGATACAGACATGAAGGTGAAGGTAAGGCTCTGTGTGCCTGGAAAGGAAAGGTATTGGGAAGCAGAAATATGTCAAGGACTGGCAAGAGGGATGTAAGAGAGGCTGGTTCAGGAATCTGTCATGACTAGGAGGGAGAGGCAGAAGGCTTCACCAGCTAGAAGGTGAACAGTGAGAGGGCATTTCAGCAGAAGGGGAGGACAGTTAATCTTTTCAAGGTGGAGGGTGGCAGGAGGTAGCCTTGCTGTATGCTGTGATAGTGTGCTAACAACACAAGGCCTGTCATAAACATAGAGCTGCCAGTACCAGAGGAGGAGAATGCAGCACCTGGTGTCCTGAAACAGCCAGGTTTGCCATACAATAAAGCAACACGAGCATGGTGATGCTGCACAAGGTCCAAGGACAGTAGGATGACCTTGCAAGGTAATTTAATGATGACAAGTTGCATGCAGTGTCTCTTAACACATGAGTTGGCCCTAATGGACGGCCATGTAAAGCTGGCATCCATAAGAAAAATCCATTTCCTCACAACCTGATTCTGCAAAATCCAAGGGAGTTTTTTTTTCTCCATCTCTCTCTTTTAGGTCTCATTGTATAGCTCTAGGAATTAACACCTGTCTGTCTAGGAGACCAATAATACATGCAAAAGGGCCTTGCTTGTCTTTTGATCTACTCTTTCTTTTTTACTGAACAGCAATACTATGAAGTGCCTATAGCAATGAAGTCTGTGTTTGATTTGATTGACACTTTCCAATCACGAATTAAAGACATGGAAAAGCAGAAAAAGGAGGGGATTGTCTGCAAAGAAGATAAGAAACAATCCCTGGAAAACTTCTTATCCAGGTACAGTATTATCTTTAAAAAAAAGATTGGAGCAAGGTACAGGAGTAGACGGGCCACATTCCATGCCAACTTAGGCCCTGGTCGGTAAAGCCAGATGGTAAGCACCAAAGACAGAAGCTGTTTCAGAATGTCCATCCTTATAACATAGTTGGTCTTTTTGCTGTGAAAATTTCACAGAAGGGGATTTTTAGATGTTTTTTAAAGTGTGCATAGCATAATATTTCTCTGCATCTTTGCTCCACTCTTGAGACCTCACACTGCCCCCTTCTTCCAAATACTGACAAACTATTCTATCTCAAATTTACTCCTATGAGGTGAGACTGGATTCAGGAAGCTTTGCACTGCACTGCAGCCATTTATACTTAGAATAAATTCAGCTTTGTTCAGGCACCAGGTCATGTGATTAGGTACCAGGAACCCAGGGGTCTCTTTTGGCTTTTCCACTGATTTCCTCCAGGGCCTTGGGCAAGTCACTTTACCTCCTCATACTTGCATTTCCCTTTCCTTAAGAGAGCAAAGGCTTAATAATAGTGACCCACTTCACCAAGGGGCAGTGAGGCTGAATACAGTAGTGTTCACTATGTGCATTGAGTTGGTGCTGCAAAAAGGCAGTTTATTTTGCATTAGAGCAACATCTGCAGCCATTTAAAAGACCATTTCCTGTTAAAAAAGATCCCTGTAGCTCTGTGAATGCCTTTAAAGCTAATTAGTTTCATACTGATGAAGAGGTACTTTTCTGGGAGAAAAGTACATAGTTTTGAGAGTATTAAATAACCTTATCTTTAGGTTTTTTGACCCAATTACAAATATTTCCCCCTCCTGCCATGCTTCTTGGATAAAACAATGTAGATTGTTCCTCAAGGTCAAAGGCTCTATAAGAAAAGACACCCTGTGTTAAACCAAAATCCAAGCTTTATCTTATAATTTGAATATGGGTTTCCTTGCATGGTAATAAACCCGTATAAATGCAGTTCTCAACATTGTTAATCAACAAGAGATGGCAGCAGGTAAAGACCTTAAGATCTGGAGGGTCAGATTTGGCTGAGAATCCAAAATGCAGATGTTTCTCCAAGACTTTTGGGGTTGCAAGCTTAAGATCAGCGTGAGATGCATCTAGAAAGAAGATAAGTGTGAGAATTTGAAATGAAGTGGAACAAAACTTTGGACATGGCATAAAACATTGGGAGTTCAAAATGAAACCTGGGTGCCAAACATTATATCTTCCTTGTTTTCCTCCAAAGCAGAGACTCCCAGGCCATGGACTATGGAACACTTGCTGGTTTTCAGAGGTGACTAGTCACATAACATTGCTTCATTAATGGCTGCTAGGTTATATTTAATGAATACTCTATATTTTTCTCCCTCTTGGGTATTTAAATGGCCCCCTACACTACTATCTGAGCATCTCACACTCTTTAATGGATTGAGCAATTATTCCCATTGTGCAGATACACAACTGAAGTACAGGGAGACCAAATGACTTGTTTGAGATCTCACAGGAAACCCATAGACTTGAACCCAGATCTCTGAGACTGCCACACTAGGCACTGGAACACACACCCAGATCCGAACGTGCCCTGAACATTGAGACAGGTAAGGTCTGGATATGAACATTGCAGCTCAGGGCACATCTTCAATTAGAGGAAAAACAAGGAAGGACAACACTGGTTGTACACTTATGAACCTTTACAAAGGCTTGGCTTGGGATTCAGATTTGAAAGTTCCCAAGTACCTCGTGTAGGGAGACATTTTTAAAGTGTACTTAAGTGCTGAGTGTCCTCTCATGCCGTCTTAAGACAGAATAGAGCCGTAGGAAAACAGGCTTAGCTTGATCTTCATTGTCATTCTGCAGTTCAGCTTTGAGAGCTGGAAGGATCAGAACTGTGTTACAGCAAGCAAGATGAGAAGGTGGCAGCAGGTGAACAAGAGACATAGGATGGGCAAGTCAGCTTAGACAACACTCAAGCCTTCCGCTTATGCACACTTGTCAAATCCACATCCCAAGCCAAGCTTTTGTGAGGGTTCATAAGTGTTCAGTATGTTCTGATTTAAGGCCCTTTTTATTTTTTTCATATTTGTATTAACTAAAATTTTGAAATGAATAAAACCACATTTCAAATAAAAAAATTAAACTTGTTTTTAAACAAACTGGCTGAACTGGACACTTTGCCCATTTTGAAAAAAAGAAGAAGAAAGAAATCAAGTGGGGGAGTCATCAAAACCAGCCCTTTCGCGCAATCAGATTCAGTCTCAACATTTTCCAAGGAAAATAACCCATCTAAGTCAGAAAATTCCCACCAGCTCTCTTCTGAAATGCAGTCTCAGCCCAGTAACAGGGTGGGAGCGCCCACAAGCAGCTTGAAATGGTACTGCTGTAACGTGTTTCCTTCTCTTCCCAGGTTGCGATGGAGACGGCGCCTGCTGGTGATCTCAGCAGCCAGCGATGAGGACTGGGCCTTCTCCCAACAGGTTTCTGCCCTCAGTGGGCAAGCCTGTAATTTTGGTAAGTCAGGAGACAGGACATGCTTGCTTCCCAAAACCACATCCTTCCTGAGTGCTATCTGGCAATAGGTTCCTTGGCTCAAGTCTAAATCTAGACAGTCTTTGGGGGTCTGTCCAGCTGAAAAGTTTGCTGTATCCACCCCAGTAGGGACAGCATGCAGTAGCCCTCTGGCATGCACAAAAGTAAACTCTGCCACCTAATCCTGTCACACCAGTGCCTCCCCTGAAATCCCTCATGTAAGCTTGAAAGGGGTTAGAATCTCTTAGCTGACAAGCATTTCCAAAGTTTTATGAAACAACAGGCTGGACTTATTCATCCAGTTGTTCTCAACAAATGACCAACAAGAGTACAACCTGCCCATAGATGCCGGTCAATCCACCTTGTTCAACATTAGGACGGGCACCGTCCTAAGAGTTATCCTATTCTCTCCTTACCCCTACCCCAACCAGCAAAGCATTTTCATGAGGGGCTATGACAGCACTAAAGCTCAAACAGCACTTTCTTGGGGCTCTCTATAGCCCTTACTGGAAAAGAATCCATAGACTGGATCCACTCAGTGGCAGATCCCCCAGCTCTGCCTTTTTCCCCTGTCCCATCCCTATCAGTTCACATCCAAAACCTCTGCTCAAGTTTCAGGAGTATGGCCTCTTCTTTAGCCCCAAGATCCAAACTCTGAGGTCTGGACTGGGCTGTGGAGGCAGGTTCTAAATTTGTCATGTGGGTGAACTGTAATTTCTATGACTGAGGAAATGCCCAGTGTTTTGGACATATAAGTGATGTTTGAATAAACTGGGATTTGTGCAATGTCACTTTTTTAATAACACCATTACATTAATTCACATCTACAGTGCCTTCTTATTCTCAGGGAGCCAAACTAATGTGCAACGTGGAAGTTTTAAAAATACTTCCATAAGAATGAAATACAGCCAATATTCACTGAATTCTCTCCCCTTAGTTGGCAACATCTATAAGGAATTCCAGCAAATTAACAAGGCATGACACTCCTTTTTCCCCCCATGCCTTGAATGGATCTCTTTCAGCAAGCAATATGTCTCCAAGTGTTTCTTGCTTCTGAATCTGTAAACCAGTGACTTCCAGGGTCCTCTACAGCATACAGACTCCCATCTCACTGCCTGTGCCTTTATGTGCCACTAAGATCTTTTCTCAAAGACTACATCCCAGTAATCTGCCCAAAAAGAACTAAATGGGTCCCAGTATTAACCTAGTAATATCCCACTTAAAAGCTGCAGCTTATGTTGTGCCTAAGCACTATATGCATGAGGGGAGTAAAGCATCGTGCTTCTTTGCATGCTTTTGGTGGGTTTCTGTCTCTCTCTTCAGTGTCTTATTTCTTGGAGTTGGTTTAAAATTAAGTTTTCACTACTCTTTGCATCTCCTGAGCGACAATATGTGTTGCAAGCTAAAGTAGATGTACAGTAATACCAGGCATCAAGGCATTAACAAATTTCTGCATGGGTTGGAAAGGAATCTTCATCCACATAGACAGAAGGGTGTGATTGGCCAGGAGTAACATGTCATTAGTAATAAAGATGATTCTCCCTTCTTGGAAGTATTAGATGGTAGTGGTTGTGAAAGTGACACACTAAGATGAACCAACAGATTAATCCTACAGGATACGTCTCTAGGTAGCTATATGATAGGATCCAGTTTGATAGGAGAAATAATATCAGCCTTAATGGACTCGTAGCTTGATCTGGCCTGGCAGGGGCTGGGATTAGAGAGACCACTGGTCTGATACAGAGTATGATATATTTGCTTTACATCCAGTGCTGTGCTCAAGCCATCCTTAGAAAACCACCATGCTGTTTCTCAAACTACTGAGTCAGTTCTGAGACCTGACTGCTTCTTAATTGCTGCCTGCCTCTGACACAATAATGTAACTTATGTCCAGAGGCAGTGCAGGTCCTTCCTTTTTTAGGAAAATGATGAGCAATGTACAACTGTAAGTCACAAAATGGTCTACAACTGAATAAAGACATATGGTACCACCCACAATCTCTCATGTTCCTCCACAGGTCTGCGACATATCACTGTTCTCAAGCTATTAGGACTTGGAGAGGATATCAGTGGTGTCCTAGAACTATATCCCATCAATGGTGAGACATTATTTCCGGTTCTTTAATTACTATTCACAAAGGACAATTACACAGCATTTTGTACTATTAATGAACGTGAAATGAGATGACTACAAGTAGAGCTTATTTTATCTAGGTTTCATAAAGTTTCTATTTAAGAGATACTCATAAAAAGGATGGGTCAGATCCTGCAAAGTGTGGGGTATTCTCAATTCCCACTGAAGTAAAAGTATAGTAGGTCAAAGGCATTCTTCTGCTTGACCCCTGGCAAAAGCCTATTCCATTATCTTCTACAACATTCAGAAGCGGCAGGACTAACAAAGCACAGACTCAGCTACCTCTTTTATACAGGCCTCTCTTTGGCTTCCTTCAAGGCTCCTTCCATATTCAGTGCTAGGTTTCTCTTAGTGCCATGAGCCTGTTTCAGGTGAGCTTTATACAAGAAATCTCACTCCTAGAGGACACCTTGAAGGCAGGGAGCTTTATATCTATGAAGATAAAGATGAGCACAGGGAGGACTCTTTCATTCTTTATTCCCTTAAAGAGTCATACGTGATGTTCTTGTGTTTGCATGCAATGCAAACTGCGTGGAAGGTTGGGCACATGCACATATGCATGTGTATTGAGAGAGAGGTTAGTCTGGAGAAAGGGAGATTAAGAGTGGGTAATGATAATAGTTTTCAAATGTCTGAAAAACTTGTCACAAAAAAGGCAGAGAACTGTTCTTTTTCTGCCAGTGAGAGTGGGGATGAAACAATGGGCTTAAATTACAACAAAACAGGTTTGGATTATGTTTTAGAAAAAAATTGTCTTACTGTAAGACTATGAGGACGAGCTGCCTAGAGAAACTGCAGTCTCTTTCATGGAACATTTCAAGGAAATACTGCATAGGCATTTTTGGGATGGTTTCTGAACAAGGCCTTGTGTAGTTGCATGATGATGACCCTTGAGGTCTCCTTCTAGCCTTGTGATTCTATGAATCTGCACCACCCTCTAGTGGCTGCAGCCAGCAGCATTGATAACACCCAGCTGAAACAAAAATTATTTTTTCACTCAAATGACAGTTGACCTTTGCTTGAAGGCCCCAAGCTCTTTCTCTGAAGATGATGGTTCACACATCTTTAAAATATTCAGGATCTTGTGCAGTTTAGCAGTAAAATGGGAAGGAAAAGGAAGAGGACGTACTTTGTTAATCATCACCATCTAGTGGACAGACTAAAGTAGGTGCAATATAGCATCTTGCATTGAGGCATTAATGAATTCCTCTATAGGCCAAAAAGGAATCTTTCTCCACATGGGCAGAAATGTATGATTGGCCAGGAGTTACATTAGTACCAACTTTGTTTCTGCTTCTGTTCCTTTTCTAGGGAGCTCCAGTGTTGAACGAGAAGATCTCCCCGCCAACCTCGTGAAAGACATCCGCAATTATTTCCAAATCAGCCCCGAGTATTTCTCCATGCTTCTGGTTGGGAAAGATGGAAATGTTAAATCCTGGTACCCTTCCCCAATGTGGTCCATGGCCATCGTGTATGATCTGATCGATTCCATGCAGCTCCGGCGACAGGAAATGACCATTCAGCAGTCACTCGGCATGCGATGCCCAGAGGATGAATACGGTGGGTATGGTTACCATAGCTATCACCAGGGATACCAGGAAGGTTACCAAGACGACTACCGTCACCATGAAAGTTACCACCATGGATATCCATACTGAAGAAAACTTAACCTTTGACTGACCCCAGCCCTCCTCCTAATATATCCAACTATGCGCGCCCAGACATGGAAATTCTTCCCAAGCTGCCTAAATGTCCATGTCTCTCTCTTTCAACAGTCAATCGGAGGACTAAATTCTTGAAAATGCACCAGCCTTTACAGTGAAATATTTCAAACCCATAGTATTCATGCTTTAAGCAATTCAGACACTTTTATGTGTTTAACCCCTTGTAACCACAGGGCATCAGCAATTGCTGTTTGCTTGTATTAAACACAACAAATCTTTCTCGTTCTCCCCCTTTGGCCATGGACATTCTAATGTAGGCAGGACACAAACTGTGTGATAGACATTGTAACGCTTTTATATATATATATATATATATATATATATTATATTATTTTTCAAAGAGAAAAACAGAGTATATTTATTGGAAAATAAGAATTTCGTATCATGCTGATGAAGACCTGCAGAGGATTGCACCACAAGAATTTCCCACATAACAAGATTTTAGGAAAGAAGTATAGGGAAAATTTTTTAAAAGAATTTTCTTTAAATCCTTTTAGAATATCTGACTGCATAAAAAGACTACATCTCTTATGACAAACCAGCTTTGCACTTACCAACTTCCATTCATCACCTTCCAAAATGGAAATGTAAAGGCTGTTAGAGGATTTGTTACAATACAGTGAAAAGTTCTCTTAACCCACAAACCATGCCAGTTTATCCTTTAAATAGTGATGTTGTTCTCTTGTGTCCTTTGCACATGACAGTTGCATCCGTGCTTGTCAGAGCTGTGCTTAAATTAAAGCTGTAATTTGTAGGGTTGGATTACAGATGACTAAAAAAAAAAATTTGACTTTCAGCAGGAAAAGGCTTGTACTTCTTTTCC